CGCAGTCATGACTGAAGTGAAATGACCTCAGTGTGCATTGTGCGTGTCTTACAGACCAGAAAGCTAAGAGGAAGCAAAGCAAAGCCCATGGCCATGCCCACAAAATTAAAAACAAGGTAAAAAGCACACAAGCCAATAAGAGACAACCAGTATTAACTGGCCTACTCCCACTCCTTTAATATTTGGCACATGGAGCATTTCACTTCATGTAGTGCCAGATTTTTCCTAAGTGAAATATTGCCCCCATGTCCCCCTCCCCAAACAGGCATCGCGGCAGGCCGTTGCTGAGGTAAAGGACTCTTCTTCTGCCTCAGTCATGACGTGCCAGTCTCGTCCAGCATCACTAGTCTCAGAGGCAGACTCCAAAGACCTGTTTGCGTCACAACAAGCAAAGCATCCTGCCGAGGACATCATCATGGCAATCCCAGGTTAGGCTCGGTGCCATTGTTCATACTTCTGTTCACGTTGATGTGTTTTCTGTGGCCACATCATGATGTACAAAACAAATGAAATGACCTCCAAAAATGAAAGTGATTTCTTTATTACTCGTAAAAAATCTGCATTTGGAGAACAGATAGTTGTTGGCAGCTTTGATTTATCACCTGAACACTCTTCTTTCCATCCCTCTACCCTCCTCCTGCAACAGCATTACACAGCCGGCTGCCTCCTCAGCCGTCCAGACCTAGTGGCAAAGCTGCCCCACTCCCTCATAAATCCTGGACTGCCCCTTTACCGCTCAGCCTACCTCCAGACCAGGCCATCAACCCTTTATGTAATACTTCTGCCACCTCCCCCTATAAAGACAACACAACCACCCCACTCAAATCTTCCCACTGGTCGAATTCCCCACACACACCAACCTCACTCCTTTCAGACTCGTCGTTCTCCCGTAGTCCTTCACTCGACCCGCAGGTCTCTCAGGTTGGCCCCCCATCACCTGCTGCTGCAGAGAAGCCTCCACTTAAATCTGAGCAGGAAGGTAAGAGGGCGCTTGATGTGTCACCACCGCTGGCCGCAGATCTCCGTTCCTTGCTCTGTTAACATTGTGCATCTGCGACTTTTTCCCTTCCATTGTTGGTTGACATTGTATGTTCATCATAACTGGTGGTTTGTTTTGAGTTAGTTGCGTGTCATTGCTGTCTCTCACTTATAGTGCTGCTTTAACGCATGTGTAAAACAGGATACCAATTCAAAGTAAACTCTCTCTTCGTCCCCTCAATCTTGCAGGTGTTCCTCCTCTTCTGTCACCACTGGCCTCACCTCCTGCAGCCATGCCTGTCACAGGATGCCAGCCTACCTCCAGCTCTCAGTTTGAGGTAATTTTATATTTCTGCTAAACTTGTCTTTGTATGGAGAAAAACTATACAAAAAGACTTTAACTTGTTCAGTTTTTTCCATTAAGTTGTCAGTTAAAATAGATTGTTAGAATAGTTTGTTGCAAACACTTTCTTAAAAGGACACTACACAATTTAAGGCTAGAGTATTGTAGCGAATCAGCTCATAGGGAAATATGAATAATTAATCATAACCAGTTATAATTAATTATAAATATTTAGATCCGCTGTAGATATTTACTTGACCTCTCAGGGTCAACTGTCTCAATTCTAAGAACGTTAATTTCCTGGTTAAAGGAAATAACTTTCTTACTGTACAATTCTACACAGAGCTTGTAGCATAAATCTGCATGATTAAGTGACTCCAGTTATGAGCAAACAATGAACAACGTCAAGTGTGATACAAGTAAGACTTTATTAACCACATAAACTCTTAAACTAGTCTAACATACTACATAAACACTTAAACTGGTCTAACTTACACATATATATATATATATATATATATATATATATACACACGCGCATACATATATTTGGTCTAATCATAGTTTATTAATT